CAAAAAATATTGTCTGCATACCCGGTGATAGTTTAGGATGAAACTTGTCTCTTCTGATATTGGCTAACTATCTTCTCAACAGGACAGGTTTGTCTAATTGAAACTTAGAAATAGTTAAAGATTGACTGATTGATTGATTGATTGATTGATGATGCCTTTATTGTCATTGTATGGAGCACAATGAAATTACATTTAAGAACACCCATTTAAGAAGACACCAACGACAAAAATATATCATATTATTTTACACTCTGTAAATATTCCATTAACCAGAGGTAAAACCGGCCTGTAATATTTAATCATTTGTGCTAAAATGTAGCATGACTTAGCAGAATGCTACTCTCTGTATAACAATACAGCATATGCTACAGAAGCTAATATCTGCTAACCACTTCAGTAATTAGCAATTACATTAATTCTGCTTGTYTGTAAAATGAGRCATGTTTTCTTGTTTCTCTTCTGTTGGTATATCCATAACACACACACACACCTTTTTTGTATTTTTCTATACATCGGATAGCTTATCCARTATAATATTTTTGTTATTATCRTTAATAGTTTTTGAAGTTTTTACATAATCAGCCTTTTATTGTTTGCTCTTTTGCCAATATGCACAGTAATAYTAAATCCAGACTCTTGCACAGTTTGGTTAGCGCCACAGCTGCTACAGTGGAACACACAGTCACGTGGACAAGACTCACTCCAGTTATTATATATAAACTCATTGGGTACAAAGAACTGGACCAGCTGAGGGAGACTAAAAGTGTGGATAAACAGCTGCAGAAAAGAAAATCCTGTTTATTTTTTTGGGACATTTCCTGAACAGGTTTTGTGTAACTATAACATAAATCACCTCTGTGCATTTTGTGGTTAAAAAATTCTTGTAGAATGACAGCAGCTGATTCAAATGTTGGTATGTCTTTTTTTTTCTTGGACTAAGCTAACTAGCACACTATAAATGAAGACTTCCTAGACTAAGTGGATTTCTCACCGTCAGCTTTAGCCAGACTAGAGCCAACATTTAAAACTCCTCGATATAACAAGAATAAAAAAAAATAAGGCAGATCTGTGACAAACGGCATTCAACAAAACTACACAAAAACCAATTACAACATCAACCGATGCAGAGGCACACATCCACAGACAGGACAAGTGAGGATTGGGTGGGCTCCTCCCCCAAGTGCAAGTGGCTCTACCTTTTTAGTGGGCAACCGTCCTGTTAAAGTTTGCAAGAAACTGGCGCTCTCAGTGTGCGAAGACATGCGATTGCCACAGCGCTCCATGGCCTATGAGTGGGGATGAATGGAACGGTGACAGCAAAGTTAGTGGAGGAGCAACAGCAGTGTGTGGGGGGGTGGCTACGCCTCAGCACGCAGGCAACTCTGTGTGCTGGGTCACACATACCCCACACATACGTGCATAAAAGACACTTTTGTGATTATGCAGCACATACTTCTCATACATGAAAACACAAAACATTTAGACACAGGACAGGGTCACAATGCTTAAATGTTGTGCCCCTAATCTAAGGCTATGTTCACACTGCAGGTCTTAATGCTCAAGTCCGTTTTTTAAATTAATTAATTTTTTATCAGATTTCTTTGCATGAAAGTTCACATTATATTTTAAACCCAACCTCCATTATACTCCAGTACATTCAACACACTGTTTAAGGCCCTGTTACACTAACATTTTAGACAACTTGTGCCAATGTATGCAAAATTTAAAGACATCTATGTAGGTGTGTAAATACTGTAATGATAACGAACAAATATATAACTTTTATTAGTAATTTAGATGTAAAAAAGCACAAGTTTAAAATGTAGTGTGACAGGGCCATCAGAGGAGTAGCTAAACATGGATGCTACTTGTTGATTTGAATCGTCTATTTTGAAGTTGTTGCTTAAGGCCCTGTCACACTAGCCAACTTATGAACATTTTAAAGACATCRACATTGAAGACGGAATCAAAAAAAATCAACAGCAAGCTTCTTTTCGGTGTGTACATAATGTAATTTGAACAAATTGATCAAATGTATAACTTTTCTTTTAGCAGTTTAGACCTAAAAAATGTTTTATAAGTTGGCATTAGTTGTCTAGTGTGRCAGGTCCTTTACACCAGAGCCAATTAAATAATTATCTGACATGCTTGTKTGGTTCCGTGTTTTATATCTGAACCTGCCTCTGACCGGATGCTCCGGAGAAGCATGTATTTGTGGAACGAAGTGACGTGCTAAATGAAAAGTATCGTTAGCATCATATGTTTCTGCAGATTCTCAGTCATCCAGGACACGGAACATGAAAAGAACAAAAGGCAAAGCAACTGGATTTCTGTTCTGTAGCTGAAGTCGTGTTGTGCTACAAGATTTAAACTGCTTGACTCGAGGTTTGTATCATAATATGAAGATAAAAGATAAAAGTCAGATGAAATGCGACACRACCGTTCAGAYTGAAGTCACTTTGGTKGGGCCAAAAATCRGATTTGGGTCRCAKTTRCTTGCAGTGTAAACGTAGCCTAAGGCATCACTTTACGCAGTGCCTTACAGCAGAGATACAAAATGGTACAAAATGGAGCCATAAAATCATTTCTACTGATTTTACAGCCCGTTCTCAAAGCTGCACCTTTCTGTATCTCTCCAGGTAATGCTGCAGAGACATAAAACTAATGAAAACAAACACAACTCTAAAATATCTAGGGTAAATTTACTACTAGTGGATAAYCTAGTTATGTTTTTATGATTGTAATATATTATCTTGTTAAGTCGATGTGTACGTTTTTAATATATCCTTTATGTCATGACAATCTAAAATCACAGAAGACAACACAAAGATGTAAAGCGAGAAAAGAACTTCACGTGTGTTGATACACATTCACACTCACWAATACACCAGGCTCTAGTGACAAAACTGAATACGATGAGGAGTTAGCAGAGTCGTGCGGTAAAACGAGCTGAGATCAGAGTGTGCATAGAAGGGGAGAGAATGGGATGTTATGAATAAAAGAAAAGAGAAAAATCTGTTACGGTGATGGAAGTTATTTCTAACGCTACTCTTTTTCTCTACAGTTAAAACATTTGTCTCTAAATTTGCCGTACATAMTTAAAATAACATGTCTAGGTTTAATGTTTATACCACTGTACTGAAACATACAATGGAYGGTAAATGTGACAAACAGAAACAAAGACAGGAATGATAACGGTCTCAAAGCACAACTAACTTTACTGTATCTGGATCTGCATGATTTTTCATCAAGAACTGAGAAAAAGAGAGATGTTAGATGTAATAACTTTTTTCTATACTTGGCATTAACAAGTGTCCTTTCTGATCCAATCACAAGWGCACAGCTCTGACAGTCTAACGTCACACCTGACAGTAAAATAAGTCTCCGCTTGGGCTGAGAGTTGTGACCATATCTAACCTCTCAGATTTGTACGTGTCCAGCGGGGTTTTAATTTTGTAATCTAGTGGCATCATAACTCAGAGCTGCAACTGACTGTTTGATTTATGCCAAAATATCAACACAGTCACTCACTTTGAAGTGATTTTTAACGAGTGAAACAGAACCTGATGTATGACTCAGCTGAAAGTATATTGTCAATCCAATGGAAGCAGCTCGRTTTTGCTTTTTTGCATTCACACATCTAAATAAAATGCAATAWGCTGCCCGTGCCACCTCATCCTCATTCATACCTATAATAAGAGCTGTTCACTTATAATCGTATCATTAAGAACACTGTTACTGCCGTGTGAGAACAGGGCCTAATATGTGACAACATGATGGTCATGGAGGCGACTGTGACTCCCATGAGTAAGTTAATGTGAGGATTGTGAAATAAATTTAAAAGGACAGCTGTAATATTTTTGCGTTTTGGTTTGTTTTGCCTTTATGTTACATTAACATTTCACGTGGTTTGGGAGTTTATCACATTTGTTTAGTGAAGAATGACAGAAACATTGTAAGAAGTTTTGTATAGGCTGAGTGTGCAAAACAGAGATTTTAACCTTACAAAATAAACAAATAAAAAAAAGAATGTATTCAGCTAATGTTTGGATTGATAGGAAATTCTCCAATTATATCCCTGAGTGTGCTCTAAGTATTTCARTAAACCAAAACTCCAAATATTTCAGAATCCATTCAGTGTGGACAGGGTTATTTTTGTCGTGAGGCAATGTGGAGAACGGGGCATTCATTAAACCACCTGCAGGGTTTCTGGAGCGGACCCAGGGCCGGATCCCCAGGGGGCACTACAGCCCATGGTGTGCACCCATGAGTTGGAGCGGTCTAAGCCCTAGGGGTGCCAAAGTCAAAGGACAYGAGGCAGGCAGGAAGCAAGGGAACAAGCAAGCAGCATGGGGGGTAAGGAGGAGGGAAGGAATAATGACAAGTTAAAAGAAGTTCAAAAGTCAGGACTACTGGGAGACGCCAAGGCCCCCCAAAAAACATTACTAAATTCCAAATTATCACCAAAAAGGAGCAAAGTTCGTATATTCTCTCTGTCCCTTTTCATCTGAATGTAAAAATAACTTTCCCTCCCTTTGACACAGAAAAAAGAAAGGTTTAGTTAAGTATTAGCAGAAAGAGGGGGGCAATCATCAGAACAGGGCTGCATCCATCTTATAATAGTTACAAATACAGCAAGGCCATTAGAAAGACACATTTGCATCATTCACTCACAGCTCATGTGCTTTCTGAGACAAATAAAAATGCTTAAAGTGGGAAACTACAAATTATGCAAGACAAAAATACACAACAACAGATAAATAAAATAAAAATAAAAATACAGGTYGATGTTACAGCGAGTTCATGACAATAAATCTCTGCTGGGTCATGGTGCAACATGGAGGCTTTTACTTTATAGAGGCTAAGAATTACAAAATTGTGTTTAAGTACTTTATTCAAGTCAGACTAAAATACTTCACAGATTAATGTGAGTTGCTTAGATTACAATAAGGTGAATAATTATCCCTGGTATCTAACACCCACGTGTGGTGTGGACAAGGTAAATAATCTCTGGGGTTAAGAAGTCAAAAAAACATATCTTTGCTGCTGGTTCTGTCAACATGTAACATTTTTGAATGTGGGTGCCTCTTGTTTTTTTTCCCCTCTTTAAAATGTGCTGACCTCATAGCACTACGACAAACAAAGCCTTCTTTTTTTTCCCCCTATCTTACCTTGCTGCCAATTATGGCGCGAACCTCATCATCGGGAGACGTGGGYGTACCGGAAATGTCTGGGTTACTGTTACTGAGGCTGCGGGAGCGGCTGAGGTTGAGGCTGGCTGGTCGAACAGCCGAGCGWGCCATGGTGGCGTAGTGGACCGAACCTCCCAACCCTCCGGGACCTGGGACAACACACAGAGACCAAAACGGATGAGTCGCTCAGGATGTGGAGGTTGGGAACACCCTGCTTAACCATTTGGTTGTGAGCCTGTAAGAAAATTTTGTGTTCGTGAACTAAAATCGAGACAAGCGTTGCTTTTATTGCTYCCGGCTGGAGTCAGCAAAAGCAGCGCTGCCTGAAACCGGAAGTTCCGGTCTTTTTATACAGGGATCTTCAGTGCCTGGTACGCCCACAATATTTTCTGTACGAGTTGCCTGAATCGCAGGCAACTCGTACAGAAAATATCTTTCCTAATGAATTTATAAYGGTATTTCTATATGTTGTCATGTTTTTGGGCATGTACCTCAAACTATTTTAAGCAGGACATTACAATAGTCAAACAATAGATTATAAAAGTCAAGCCTTAAAAAAGGAAACTAAAGGGCTCGACACACGGGAGGCGACGTCGCTCGCTCTCCATTTATTTCCTACGGAGCCTGTGCGATGAGGCGACAATCTCTTGCCCTCCTCCAGCTAAGCGACCGGCGAAAATAGTGCATGTGAAATTTCATGCTCGTACATGTACACGTGCACACGCGAGCTTGTGACGCGACATATGAAAGTTGAAAAATGTTCAACTTTTGTCGCTGTCGCTTAGCGTACAACCAATCAGCGAGGGTTTCATTGACTGACCAATGAGAGGAGAGTATGCTACACACTGCCGTTAGCTAACACTTTCACCAAGTGATTACTAAAAAGCTTTGTGGGAATTTATTGGCACCAGGGTGAAGTTTATGGTAAGTTTTTCCTCATAAAACTGTATCTTGATGTTTGTTTGTTTTTCAGTATCATTAGCATCRCAAGATTTGTTTAGTTTACACGTCAGTAATGCAAAACCACCTTCAGAGTCAAGAACCAATCAAATTTTGTGAAGACAAGCGATCTGAGAGCGCGATTCGCAACGCTGCAATCGCTATCGTGTCCCGTGTGTCGGATTTTCACCCTGGCTGCGATGACAGCTGTTAATCGCTGTAGTTTGTAGCTGCCCGTGTGTCGAGCCCTTAAGACAAATGGTGTGGTGTCTTAACATCAGTATCTAACTAATAAATTCCTTCAAGCMCACAATTTCAAAAACAGTAATTCATCCAATGTTTACGATGTTCTTGTACTGTAACGTTTATGAATCAGTAAACAAGAATTACAAAAACATGTTTTTTTAAGTCAAACATGAAATGCTCAGACAAAGCATATATTAAGAGACAAATGTATTTCACAATGTAAAAGAAACACAGATTAGAATTTATTGTAGTGCAACATATCTACCTGTTAGAGATGAGTTGGGGTCTGTGTTGGGCAGGCAGAAGATAAAATGAATATGAGAGGGGAGGGAAAAAAAAGGCAAAAGTTAAAAAGAAATAGAAAAGAAATGGCAGGCCGGCTTAGTAACAAACAGTGAGGGTGAGCTGGGAAATGGATGCCAGTAACGGAAAAGGTATAAACACAAAAGAGCAGGAAAAARAGTGAAGACAAATCTGACAATAACCGGATTATACCTGGCGATGGTGAGTTGGGGTCTGTGCTAGGCAAGCGGAAGATGTAGTGGATGTAAGAGGACAGCAGGCTGTTGCGGCCGTGCATATCTTGGCTGGTGTCCAGGTATTTATGAAGCCGGTTCACAACCGACGCCATGACCTCGAAGGACGCTTGACCTAGATTCACTAAAACACACACAAACAAGGAAATCATTCTGTGCTATTATTAAATGCACATGACCCAGCAATATAAAACTGAATGAACAGAAAATTATTTTAAATGTAAACTCAGTAAAGGCTATCTCATTTTGAGTTAGTGGCATCGAAAAGTATTTACCGATCTGTCCGGCAATGACCGGCGGCCGAACTACGAGCAGCACCAACTTGTCGAGCAGAAGATGAAGGAATCGAACCACTGGCTCAAGCTGGGCTGAGGTGAGAGCCGCGATGCTGGACTTGAGCTCGGCCTCTAGGTTGTTCTCCATGATGCGCATGTCTCCTATCCTGACCGGAAACACGTGCTCATCCAGAGCATGGACCAGGGCAAAGAACTTATCCAAGTACTGGTCCTAAAATGGGAGAGAAGAGAAAAACAGTGAAAAATATATTGAAAAACCTCTTGAGCCCCAAGCCCCCAGTACTGGGGGCAAAACAGCTTTTCCCCTTTATTTATTTCTTTCAAACGCTTTTAACTTAAGATCTATGATTTGAACCTGGACATGTTTAGTATTATCCACCAAACACAGTTCAAACGTCAAGCAGTTGAATCAGAAGGTAAACAAACTGTACAAAATGGCATCATTGCAAATCTGTAAATAAATTAAAACAAATCTGTAAAAGAAAGATTTTTGATATCGTTTTTTAAAGCAAGTCAAAGCTGATACCAAAATATGTTGTAAAAAGTGTTGAATGTCTTTTTAATTGGTTTTGAGTGAATATGGTCCAGCTGAAGTCAAATATAATTTCTCATTATTTTATATAATATATATGGTGACAAATAATAAATAATAATAAAAGTTTGGATAATTTTTCAAAAGAACAAACATTCAATAAAAAGTATTTTCAGGCAGGTAGGAAAAAATAAATAACTTTTGCAATTAAAAACTTAAGATTTATTAATGGTACCAACATGGTCTGTCCTGTGCAGTATGACAAAACGCAAAATTATTTCTTTACTAAAATCTCTGTAACTTTTCTCTAACTTACTTTAGCAGCATGAGTTTTTGCAGAGATAATGTCAATAGGTG